AGGATCAGAAGTTAACTGAGGCACTCTAATAATAAACGGTACTAGTCCTACGTAAGGATGCACGCCGCCATGGGCTATGTCGATAATAGGCCTGAGCTGACTAGCGGGGTCTCGTCATCCGATGTTGATATACATATATAAAGCGGGGTCTTCCTCTTGCTCCCTTCATCCTTTCCATCACCATCACCATCAACTACTTCACACTCCCAACCATCAGCCGTCCATCATCTTCTAGACGATCAGTCGCCTATACGATAAGACCAACCACCAACAAGTACCTCTATATTCTCGGATAACCACATATCAAAAAGGAAAAAAAATCATGTCCGGCTACGACTACAACCAGCAGGGCGGCTACGGCCAGCAGTCTTATGGCGGCCAGCAGGGTGGCTACGGTCAACAGCAACAAGGCTACGGCCAGCAGCAGGGCTATGGCCAGGACCAGTATAACAACCAAGGACAGCAGTACCAGCAGGGCGGCTACGGTCAACAGCAGGGCGGCTACGACCAGAGTGGCTACAACCACCAGCAGCAGTCCTATGGACAGCATGGCCAGGACTACAACAACCAAGGCCAACAACAGCACGGCTACGGCGGCCAGCCTCAGTACGGGTAAGTTCCTGAGCAAGAGTCACAATTTACCCCGCCCCCACCTCTCCTATAAGGCTGAAGCTAACATATAAATTCGTATCAACAGTCAAGAACAGGGTGCTCCAGGCGGCGCTCAGGAGGGTGAGCGTGGAATCGGAGGTGCTCTTGCTGGCGCTGCCTCTGGTGGCTTCCTCGGAAGCAAAGCCAACCACGGCATCCTAGGAGCCATCGGAGGAGCCATCGCCGGCCACTTTGCCGAAGAGAAGCTCAAGAAGCACGGAGATGGCCACAACGGAAGCGGTCACGGAGGCAGCCATGGCGGCGGAAACCCTCTTGGTTCCATGTTCGGAGGCGGCAAGCACTAAACTGCATAACTTACCCCCCGGTTTTACTTGACTTGCCGTGGATCTGAATCCGGAGGTTGATCTGATCAGGGCGGAGAGGAAGACGATGCGATGCGGAGGAGGCAAAAACCACGCGAGCGGACACTTATGGCATGCCTTGTATATGACTCTCCTATGTGCAGATATAATTTGTCTAAATACTTTTTTTGCGTTCTGATTGATTGATTTGATCAAAACGGCTGTTTTCCGTTCCCTGTTCGTATGACCCATGTTGATATCTGGCAGCCGTTCCTGCACAATACTTTGTCACTTTTTGCCCTGACACTTACGATAATGACAACTGTATTTATTATCATTAATTCTTATTATGCATGTGTTTTACTCCAGAGAAATTGACATGCCCCATAAACCCCCTCCTTGAATTAATTTTTAACTCTTAAACCCCCAGAATCTGCCTGTGATTCGGAGATTACGGACAGGATAACCGTGGATAGAAGAGAGGGCCCTTAATCCAGCCCGATATTCGGTATATCAAATCAGAATGCGTCGATGTAAAATGCCCCTTGGTACGGAGTACCTAATGGACACTTCGCCAACCAGCAGCCAGATATCCGGCATTCATGGCTCATTTTGAGATCTACACGGGGCGCCGGCATGCATGGTACCCATGTTTGACTTGTCTATTGCAGCCACACAGAGATTTCTCCCGCCTGCAGCCCAGCGAAGCCGCCTCCCAAAGGCGCTCCGGGAGATCAGAGAGCAATGCGAATCATCTTTTAGTTAGCCAAGTGGAGATTCTGCTTCTCCCAACGCCCTCGATCAAAAAAAAAGGGCAGATTGATACGAGCCGATCCAGCCCTGTGGCGTTCAAACATCAAAGAAAAAAAAAAAAAATAAATAAATACAGATATCGCATGAAGGAAGCGGGATAAGCAGAAATTCGCCGATCCAGGGGTATTGCAATATATGTTGTATTTTTTTATTTTTATTTTTTTTTTTTTCCCTAGAGTTTAGTATATGATCATCTTTCGAGCCGATATTACCGTCCCCTTGCGCGAAAAAAAAGGAACGGCGGAGGCCAAAATTGGATGCTGTGGACTGGTCGTATTCTGAGAAGAGAGATAAAAGGCGTTGGCAGGATGGTTACTTCGCTAGGTAGCTGGAGCGTTTGGCTGGCGACTGGAGGTGACACCTGGATAAGTGTCATACAAGTTGACAGCGACGTCGCAGAAGCGCCGGGACGGACATGCCGGAGCCAGAGGCTGCAGGCTGCATGCTATGCTACATACATGTTGGCTGTACTCCGTATGCTGTATGTATGACCAGCGCAGATTCCGGCGTACAAACATGAAAAATGCTTCTTCCGGCTTCTCCTAGGTCTGGACGTCATCTGTGCTCCGTCCAGGATCTGTTGATTTTTGTCCCTTGGTATCCCGTAAATAGCTCCCGGGATCAATTTGAACGAGACTAGTTATATATAGAAAGGATGGACATCGCCTCAGAGGAAAAAAGGAACCCGAATTAGTCGTATTTTTTTCAGTGATGCCCAGCAAAAAAGAAATGGGTGGTATTGTACATCAACGGCCAGGGCCCATGAATAGAAAATAAGTATAAGTATATAAGGTGTAGCTCCCAAGTAAACGCAGGCCAAATGGTCGAGAAAGGATAAGAGAAAAAAATAATGAAAAAAATAATGAAAAGAAATAAAGCAATGCGCAGACATTATATCATGCAACTGAACACCGTCCCAAACCTTCTAGTAGGTCACTGGCTCGTACATCTATACCCCCGGTGTCTTCGTCTTCTATGCCAAAGGCAATGAACAACACGTCATCACTGTAGCCATGGTACTTCTGGCCGTGCTTTTTCCAGCTTATGGAAGTGATGTAGAACATCTCAGTCTGGCTCCAGACTCGGGCTTCTTCGGGCGTCAGACCCGGCGGTTTCTTGCCCTCGCCAGCCGTACCGCGGCCATGGATCCAGATGGGCTTTGATGATATCCCGTACAGCTCGAAGGGGGCACTCTGGCGGAAGAGCATGGCGTAGGGCTCATACACGCTGTGGAAGGAGTAGAAGCTCTTGTGCTGGAAGATGGTCAGCACAAAGGTGTTCTCTTCGTTGGGCCTGCACTTCGGATCTGTCCGGTTGCAGAGGGTGATGGCCAGTGAGTTTGTGGCCTGGTGGATGGACTCGAGCTTGGGCGGCAGACGAGGCATGTACCGCCGCAGACACCGGTTGTCCTGGGGGGCCACGGCGGGCGCGAGATCCGGTCCTACCGCTCCCGTGTACTCTAGTTTGGCGAAGACTCGTCGGGGAGCCACGTCGTAGTGGGCGTACATCTGGCCATCCCTGTCCCAGAAGACGAACCAGTTCTTCTCGATGGCGCCGTACGCCGTCGGCCGTTGGATCTCCGTAGGCACGCGGAACTCGTTCTGGAAGAAGTGCTCGTACCCCCAGTCTATGAGCATGCGGAAGTCCTGCACCCACTGCCCGAAACAAGTGAAGACCGAGTTGGAGCCGTAGATGGCCAGCGGGAAGCGTGGCCCGTAGAAGACGCGGGCATCATGGGGCCCGATATTGAGGGCAAAGAAGGCCAGGTCGCCCGTACACTTGTTGCGGTCTCCTACGGTAGCGGCAATGGGCATGTTCATCGGCGGGCTGACACACTCCAGGCGGCCGCTCGTCTTGAACATGGCGTTACACACGAGCTCAGCAAACCAGACGGTGTTCTTGATCGTGTCCCGGCGGTTCATATGCTGTGCTGAGATCACCCAGGTGTCGTTGAGCTGCGGATGGGGGATGATGCTGGGGTTCGTAGCCGGCAGCTCGCCGAACTTGATGCGAAAGAACTTGCGGTCCGGCGTCGACAGCGAGAAGACCTCGTGGTGTGTCTTCGCGACGTCGGACGCGGTCTTGGGCGAGGCAGCCGGCGATGGCTTGTTCTTCTTATTATCATTATTTTTGTCATTATTATCGTCAAAGGAGGGCAGCGAGCCCTTGAAGCTGTCTCTGAGCGACCATCCGGAGCGTGCGCTGCCAAAGTAGGTGGCGGCCACGAAGGCGAGCAGCAGGAAAAGGGCCACCGGGATGAAGAGTCGCTTGAGCCCGCGGACTAGCATTGCCTATCGAAGCACGTTAGGTCAGGTCAGGTCAGGACGGCCGTTTTTCCCCCTTTCACATCGTCGAGTCTCAGTCGAGGGAGGAAGACAGAGTAGGAGCAGTAGTATGTAGTATCCGTACTTGTTTGCTTGTTGGTCTGGCGGTTATACGGGGGAGGCGCAGAGATATCAAAAGGCATCGCAACCCGCGGCGGCCCAGCGTGTTGCAGCTCGAACTAACTGCCAGCGACCATCGCCCTATACGCAGCTTTTTTCCCTTGGAACGAGCAGAGATTTTCGTTTCTTTTTCTTTTTTTCTTTTTGCTTCTTTCTCCCGTCTTCTTTTTACTCAGCAGAGGCCGTTACCCAGCTTACGTGGGATTCTCCATGTATATATTTGTGAATGGCCCGAGGAGTGGTTCGTGTCGCCTACCAAATTTCCCCAGGGCCAATTGGAGCGCCCCAACGCATGGAGAAAAGGGGTTGGCCAAGGGGGTTCCGCAGTGGACAGGGCAAGCCACGAGCAGGAGTCCCATCGTATTACTTAGTACGCACTGTATATTAAGTACTTATTATTATTATTATTGCTGGATGCCGATGAAGTTATGGGGCCTGGATCTGCTGTTGCTGGTGGGCGGGCGAGGGCGGGTGCAAAAAGCAAGGCGCCCTCGGGATCCCTGCAAGCCTCTCTCGGACGTGTTACTCGATTTGATACATAATTTGCATGAGCCCCATGAAGACAAAGTTCATTTCCGTGATAGCGCCTGAAAATCTCTCTATATATACACAGGATGATACTGGATTCGTCACGCTATGAACATGTGAAACTGCTGCTGCTTCGTAAAAGAAAAAAAAGAAGGAACCCAAAAGAGGACAACGGAATCTAATCAAACGGAGGAGGACATAAACGGGCCTCCCAAAAATTGCAAGGAGAGAGAAGAAAGTGAGAAAGAACGAAAGGAATCGATCACATAGCTTTGGCGGCAGGCGGCAATGTCTTGGAATAAGCCCACTGAGCGAACTTGACGCTGGGTCCGTCGAAAAGCTTAGTGACAATCTCCGCAAGCCAGAGGGTGAGCGGAAGGAGAATAAGTTGTGGAGCAAGGAATCCAACCTCAAGGCCCAGTGGGCCATTCGTGGGCAGAGGGAATCGATTGATCCATCCAGGGATAGTTTTGTGGTGCGAATCCTTCACCCAGCCCACTGCGGAATAGAGGCGGTCTCCCAGAATCCAGAGAACGGGGCCGTGGACGAGGTAGAGAGCAAAGGAGACGCGGCCGAGATACTGGTTGAATCTGAGCTCGAAGAAGCTCTGCAGAGGGCGGATGCGAGATATCGACGAGACGAGGAAGACGGCCGCCCAGAAGAGGTAGAACCATTTGAAATCGAAAACTGCCTGGGGTTTCAGGTAGGAGAGCCAGTTCCAGCCAGGAGACTCCTTGAGCAGCGCAACGTCGAAGCTGTGGGACGGACAGCCGCCAAGGTACATGCTGATCACGAAGAGACTGTAGAAGAATGTCTCCTTGTAGGGTTGTAGGCGGTAGAAGAACCTGGGCAGGTTGTTGCTCTCCGCGAGCAGGTCGAGGTCAGACAGGTGCATGCCAGCAACGAACATGGCGCACAACGCTCCGTCAGCAATGTACATGAAGTAGATGAAGAGGCCGATCTCGCACAGCAGGCGGGCGTTCCTCGAGGCCTTGGAGAAGGCCAGTAGCGCAGTGTAGATGACAATCGAGCCCTTGAACTCGACCGGAATCGACCACGCATGGAAGTTGTAATGGAACCAGGGCTCGCCGCCGGTTCGGTAGATGAAGCTGAAGTTCTTCATCTCGCAATACCACTTCCACACCTCGTCTTTGTAGCTCCCTTGCGGATCAGGAACCGCCGTTATCCCAAACATATGCCATATTGTCATGTGTATGAAGGTCGTGGCCATGACCGGTAGGTAGAGTCGAAGCCATCGTCGAAATAGGGCGGAGGCCAGGGTATCTCCAAGCTTGAGATAGTCGCCTGCCTGTATCAAGCTCAGCGCTTTCACCGACAGCACATAGCCTGAGAGCACGAAGAAGACGCTGACCGCAAAATGGCCGCCGGAGAAGAAGGTCCGTATCCCAGGCAGGGCAATGAAGTGGTGCTTGCCTTTGTATCCGTATGCGTTCTCGAATATGGGATTCTGCGTTATCGCATCGTGAGCCCAGAGCTCGTGGTGGCCGAAATAAACGAGCAGCGCTGCGAATCCTCTCAAGCCATCGAGGTAGCTAGTCCGTCCCATCTGTTTCCGCCGGCCCTTCGTCGTCAGGATAGACGGTCGCACTATGTCAAGAAACCATCGCAATGCACCGGAAAGCCGAGACGGTTTCGACTCTGCCCCGGTGGGCTCCTGCCAGTACTGCTTCTCTAATATGTTCCCCGGTAGAGCTGACATCTTCAAATGCAGCCGGTGGTGTTCCTGGCTGTCCTTCGAGCTCCCTCAAGGGATGAAGATGGATAATAATAATAAATAAATTAGTTATAAAAAAAAAATTAAGAGAGCCGATAAATTTTCCTTCCTCCCTTCCGGACCTTCGATCCAGGCTTCGCCAGCTAAGGTTGATGTCGAACGGCGAAAAGGAATGGTGGAGGAGAGGCGGAGGAGGAGAATATCTTGATCAAGATCTGGGGTTAAAGCAAACCGAAAAACCCTTCCCCCCCCCTTGGGTTCCCATCTACCATGCGGAGTTCGTACGGCTCAAAAAAAGATTAATTCGGTTGACGTATTTCGAGGAGCGAGCACATTCGGTTTCACACTGTCTGGAAGAAGCAACGAAGGCGAAAAAGCAACGAAAGGCCATCCAAATATCACAGGCAAAGTCCGCCAGGTGCCAAGGAGTGTCATATTCCAGGTAAATCAGAGGGAGCTGGCCGGTACTTTAGGGGTTCACATGCCGAGTCGTTCCTGTTCCTCGCCCTCGTTGCCTGCCCATCTTTTTGCCCTCGCCCGCCCCTTGGCCCTGGTCTGGCTTTGCCCTGGCCCGAGAGGCAACAAGGTCTCCCCCGGAGCTTCCAGGAAAGGATGCCCGTATCCAATCCCTGGCGCGGTGGAGATTGGCTTCCTGATTTTTTTTTCGGCTTTGCCTGATCCACCCCTTTTTTTGACTTTTTTTGCCATCCAAAATTTTCAGTTAGTCTAATTGAGCTTATCCCGAGCCATACAAGCGGAAAATAATATCAACAGCTCCCTCGGCCATAAACCAAAAAAAACGGCAGTTTTCCCCCTTCTTTCGATCGGAAATCGACCGTGGATACCTTGACCGGAGGCGCTTACTTCGATTTTTTTCCTTGGTCCCCCAGGTCTTCTCAATTCCTCTGACCTGAACAACCTTCTTTCTCTCTTTTTCTCCTCCTTCTCCTTCTTCCTCCACCCCCCGCACATGGCAATCGCCGCTTCTCGTCTTTAAAAAATCATGATGAAGCCGCTTTCTCCTTTCCTGAACCGTACTCCTGTGAGTATTCGTTCAGCAATAGATCAAGCAATGGGGGCAGTCAAGACCATTGCACCGAAGTTTGGAGGCTTCCTGCCACGGCAGATGAGAAGAGCTCTGGTAGGATGCATCTCCTGTCTGGTCATCGTCATTTACCTTTCAGTTGCTGGTGCCTTCTCCGAGTCGAAAAGCGAATATTCTCACAGTCTCGCTGCCCCAACAATGGAAAAGTTTCCCCGCAAAATCTGGCAGACTTGGAAGGTTGACCCTCTGGATTTCGACAAACGAGACTTGGATACCGCAAAGAGCTGGGTATCTAAGAACCCCGAGTACCGATATGAAGTTTTGACCGACCACAACGACATGTACTATGTTGAAACGCACTTTGGCCCTGAAGGCTTCAACCGACCGGACATCGTCGATACCTACCGCCAGCTCACTGCAAAGATCATCAAGGCTGATTTGCTCAGATACCTCGTCATGTATGTTGATGGCGGTGTCTATACCGATATTGATGTCGAGGCAATCAGACCAATCAAGCGATTCATCCCGGAGCGGTACAACGAGAAGGACATCAACATGGTCATCAGTGTCGAGATCGATGAGCCAAGCTTCAGTGACCACGCCATCCTGGGCCAGAAATCGAAGTCCTTCTGTCAGTGGACGTTCATGTGCAAACCCAAACTTCCCGTTATGATGAGACTTGTCGATAACATTCTCAAGTGGCTCAATGGTGTTGCAAAGAAGCAAGGCAAACCGATATCAGAAATTGTCCTTGACTTTGACGAAGTTATCAGTGGCACTGGACCGTCTGCCTTTACCAACGCAATCTTGCAAGAGATGAGCGAGAATGTTGGTGAGCCCGTCAAATGGGACACGTTCCATGATATGCATGAATCTAAGCTCGTGGGAGGCTTCCTAGTCCTCACCGTCGAAGCATTCGCCGCTGGACAGGGCCACTCTGACTCTGGAAACCACAATGCCCGAGCTGCTCTTGTCAAGCATCACTACCATGCATCTGAATGGCCAAAGAATCACCCACGATACAACCACCCTGTGTATGGTGAAGTTGAAAAGTGCAACTGGGATAGAGGTTGTGTCGAAGAATGGGATAAAAACACTGCCGCTTTCAAGGAACTCTCGCCCGAAGAACAGGCCAAGAAGATAGCTCTTGCAAAGCTCGAAGTTGACGCTCCACCACCCAAGGTGCCTGAGGTCCCAACATGGAACCAGCCCCTGCCAGGAGCGGTACAGCAGCCCAACGGACAACCCCAACCCCCTCAGGTTCCCCAGCAAGTACCAGTTGAAGGCCAGCCCATTGTGCAAAACCCACCCCAGCAGCAGCCACAGCAACCAGGCCAGCAGTTCCAGCAACCCCCAATGCAACCACAGCAGCCAGGCCAACAGGTACAGCAAGCACCGCCCACGCAACAGCAGCAACCTGGACAGCAAATTCCTCAATCTCCACCACAGCAGCAACAACCAGGGCAACAGTTGCAACCCCAGCCTGGACAGCAACTACAGCAGCCACCCACGCAACAGCCACCAACGCAGCAGCAACCGGGCCAGCAGCAACCAGGGCAGCAATTCCAGCAACCACCACCACCACAGCAGCAGCAACCTGGTCAGGCGTTACAACAGCCACCACCACCAACACAGCAGCAGCAACCCGGACAGGCATTGCAACAGCCACCACCACCAACACAGCAGCAGCAACCCGGACAGGCGTTGCAACAACCACCCCCGCCACAACAGCAACAGCCCGGACAGCAACTGCAGCAACCTCCACCCCAGCAACAACAGCCTGGACAGCCATTGCAACAGCCACCACCACGCCAGCAACAACCCGGACAAGGCCCGCCTGAACAGCCCAAGGCACCTTCAGATAATGAACAACAACCTAAGACGCCCCAGCCTGATGCACCTGCATCTCCAGACGGACCAGAAAAGCTTGATGATAAAGACCTCAAGGAAATTGCGGATCTCAACGATGAGCTCAACAACCTCGAAGGCTCTGAGAAGAAAAAGCGCGACCCCAAAGCTGAGCCTTGAAGGGTTATTGAGGTTGCGTGACAAAATTCCATGGCTGCATGATATCGGAGTCTCTTCATCCACCGCTTTTACCCCTATTTTTATTGGGTTCCTGTCGTCATGATAGGCATCATAAAGCCAATGAGGGTGGGAATATAGCCGGATGAGATAGATGTATATCCCCGCTCGTCTGAGTGGACGTGTGGTGTGGTAGCTGGCTTACACTTCCCAGCACGGCGCGGTACATGACACGCCCTTTATCAGCCTAAAGCAGTCCGAGTATATTCGAGAAGAACGGTGTTTCAACGGCGTTTATGGGTCATATCGAAGGGAAGCGCGTGATGAATATGGATACCTAAAGATTTCTGATTTCATTCCATTTCCTTTTGTCTTCCATTTTTTTTGTCTTATTCTTAATATTCTGAACTCTGATAGCGGTTGGTTATGTCTTTATGCGGGGATTTATTAGCACGTTATAGACTATCATTGTCAGTTATCACGGCCTCCAATTTGAATGTGTTATAATGTTGAATATAACCTGTTAATAGCAAATGAACATTGGAGACGAGGGTCTCGTATTTGAACTTTCGCTCATTTCGTGGTTCAAGGACATGTTTCCTAAACTAACAAATAAAGTAACCATCATGCCTGAGTTCTCTAGATGAACCTCACTGCGCAAGGGCATCGTCTTTCTCTGTCGAGCCTTTCAAGCTCGCTGCCCTCAGGTTTACTTGTCGTTAGAAGTTCCTTTTCAGACGTTCGAAACTCCGAAGCTAAAATAGACTGCTTATGTAATCGGAAATTTCTCAAACTTCTCAAATGCTTTCTTCGCTCTCAAAAGAGCCGTTCTACCCCAGCGCAAGGTCAACCCAGCCCACAAACGACAGAGATGATATTAAGACGGTTCGCCATAAGGCAAGGTAAGCCTTTGCTCTTCAATTTAATCCCTCAGCTGTCTCAATTGCCGGGCTAACCACCGGATCTCATGCAGCGCGCTCCTTTGCGCAGAACAGCCGTCAAAGACCCTTTCAGTCTCGATTTTTGTCCAGCCAAATTCCTACCGATACCATCCCTGTGGCTGAGTTAGAGGCGACTGAATCTGTACAGGCCAAAAGCGTTAACCCGGAAGAGACTGTTTCATCGGCATTGGCTCAGCACAGAGCCAGTGTAGTAAATAGTATGTGCGAATGAGGAGGTTGCTGATTGCAGTTTATCCTATTTATAGCGTTCTCCTGAAGGAAGAAGAAATCTTGAGCCTAGTAAAAGATTTACTGATGTTCCTCCTATCTTGACAGAAAATAAATTCAACCGACTTGGGTCTGATATTAGAAACAATTACCGGCCTGAAGATCTAATTTCCAACCCTCCCAGAGCTTCTGATGTCACTCTCGAACTCCTTCTTGCCTCCCAGGCCCATATCGGACATTCAACTTCTCTCTGGAACCCTGGAAACTCGGGCTATATACATGGTATTCGAGAGGGAGTTCACATCATTTCTCTTGACGTGACTGCAGCTCATTTACGGCGAGCAGCCAAAATTGTCGAAGAAGTTGCTCGAGTCGGAGGTTTAATTCTATTCGTTGGCACGAGAAAGGGCCAGAAACGAGCAGTTGTGCGTGCTGCTGAACTAGCGCAGGGTTGCCATGTCTTTGATCGCTGGGTTCCAGGATCCCTCACCAACGCTATGCAGCTCCTGGGTAAATGCGAGGTTAAGCTCGTTGATGCCCTTGATAGAACTGTGGATTATCCCGGATTTCAGAGTGTTGATATCGAAAGATGTCCATTGAGACCGGATTTGGTGGTCTGTTTCAACCCCCTTGAAAATAAGCCTTTGCTCCAGGAATGTGCTACCATGAATATCCCCACCATCGGAGTTATCGATACCGACGCAGATCCCACCCGAGTCACCTATCCTATACCCGCAAATGATGACAGTCCTAGATGCATAAGTGTTATTGCGGGTGTCCTAGGAAGGGCTGGAGAAAGAGGGCAGCAAGTACGGTTGAAACAGTCAGCTACTGGAGATTTACCTTATACACCTATCAGACTTGGTGCCCCGGAAAACAAGGAGTCTTAGACTACCGGTTTTGCTCCTTTTCCGAAGATTTCACCCGGTTCAAAGGCTCGTGCTATGAATTTCAAAGTTAGCAATGTACAATACTATAACTTTTTCTTATTGTGTATTAACTCTGGTACTGTCGGTTATTCAGCTAATCTGGGGGTCATATGTTTCTTCTTCTGTTCTGTCCTGTTGGCCTCGAGTATCAGAAAGTCGGGTAGCCATTTCCTTTGGTTTTATGTTTTGACTTTAAACAAACAGATAAACAAACAGAACCAGCAGATGTTGCCATGTCACCTACCATCAAACCATAATAACTCAGAAAGCTGGCTGAATACAGCCACCGCAGCTGCAACCCATGGGTACATATGGGCAACAACGTCATACTACCTTCTACTTGCTGAACATTCCATATCCTTAAAAATAAGCAAGAGTATTCTGGGGGTTTCAATATTGGAAGTTACCTCCACCACATAAACAAGAAATCTCAGGTCTCAACTGGATAATTTTCTTCCTATTATCGATTGTGTTATATCCGGCCCTTTATACCCGGCTTTCATGATGGAACTGGGCTTCGGTGATCAAGATCTTATCTATGAAGAAGAGGCTAAAAGGCTAGCTAAATCGGCTCCAGTACCCCGGTCTATGTGCCTGTCATGTAGCAAGCTTGTCGCAGAATCTCCCATGCTAGAGTGTTCTCAGGCTCATCCATCAACAAAATGCTTCCAATGCGTCAAAGCCAACAAGCCGTGCCATACTATTCCGCCACAGTTCCGAGGTGATCTCGAACGTATTCAGGCTTTTGCACGAGAAATCCATGTTAGACCGTCGCAAAAAGCAACCGAACAGCTTCAAGAATTTGCTCGGAAATATGTTGCGCGTATCGAAGCATACGAGCTTAAGGAGCCTACGCTAGAGGTGTATGCACCGTATCCAGTACCTCGATCAATCCCACTTCCCGTCCCGATCGATTCCCCGGTCAAGGCTGCAAACCCCATGAACTCTTCGGTTTCTACAGAAGATAAGTTAGCCTCGAAGGCTCGCGATCTTCAGCAGGTCAACCACATGCTGGATAAAATAATGGAGCTTGTATCGCGAAACATGGACTTACCCTTGGAGAATGGAAATATTGAGAAGAATTCAGAAGCTACTTGGCTACACGTTAACCAAGGAACCATACACGGGAATAATGTTAATGAAGCTCCAAAACAACGTCGCTGATAACCTTGCGTTCGGTCACTGCATGGTTGGTTCTATTACCGATTCACACAAACGCAATCTTATTGATTTACTCCCTATACCAACATTATCATGTCAAGCATGCTACAAAGGGGACTCAGCGTGAGCTTAAGGTAAGAAAATACACTTGAAAATTTTGGTCACTTTTCATGAATTATATGGGCTAGTAGTTAGTTATCATTTCAAAATTTTGGCTAACTAAGCTCATTCAGTAACTACCTGGCAGGTCAAGGCGAGACAGCAATTTCCATGTATCAAATCGTCCCGTATCCAGGAACCTTCCTCGAACTGCAGAGCCCTGAAACGGGCAGTTATTTTTCGACTACATGTCGATTTTGTATACATTCGGTGTTTTCTGGCTCATAGAGTCTTGTTGCCTTACCTCCAAGGATTGATGGCGTGTGTATTGTCCACATTATTCGAAAATTACATTACTTTACGCATTCCCTCTGAACATTAAGTTATGTCGACCGAAACCACAGTGCAAAAAATGGCGTATGCTACCAAAAACAATTGATCATCGAGAGAATGTGAAGCTCTTCTACACTCCATGCAAAAAGAATAGATTAATTTAGCTACTTATCGGGCGATGAATTAAAGTTGGTTAACTTTCCACGTTTTTGCCAACCTTATTTTAAGTTTAGCAACTCGAAGATTGCCAAGACTGGGTTATGCACAGCGCTTTGGGACAGGTGATTGTCCGCGAACGTACGCAGTTCTGCAAAAAACTCTACTGTTACCTCTAAATCCATCTCTATCGTATGGTCCAGAAATATTTTATTCTAGCACGGTATCACCAAGTTTCATTGCCTCAAGGTGGCATATACCTCACCTATGCACTGGCAGTAATCACGTAGGAGATGGCATGGTTGAAAGAAACAATCAATATTTATAAATCAGGTCTATAGGCTATCCCTGTAGTTAAAAAACAAAAAATACACATATCCGGTCAAAACCAGAGCATTGAGGCAAGTGTAGCCATATAGAATAGCGTCCAAATGCACTAACACGTCTACCTACCATACGTAGAGATACATAAATAAATCTAGAAGGGTATATGGGATAATATCCAGCAATTGTAGTTGCACACTTGTTGAAAACGTAAAGGGAATTCTCCCCGCCCAAGATAGTAGAGAAAACAGATAAAACAATAGCAGGATGCATTCGTTATCCCAAGGCTCTCTTGGTGAGTTCGAAACTATAAGATGCAAGTTAGCCTCAAGGTCACTAGTGTTAGAATCTGAAGGGAGAAAAGAAACATACGCTGCGAAAGTGCCAGCCGACACGGGTGCAGCTCTAAGCAGAGTTGGAGCAATGCCTTTAACAAACCCTCTCATCCCCTCCTGTGCGAGCGTCTGTCTAAAGCAGTCTCTCATGTTTTTGTATCTCTGTTGTTCTCCAAAACCGTCACTCTGCATTTTACTCTTGACCACATCGAATGGATAACTTGAAAGCCAGAGCATTTCACCAGCCAAACCACCATATCCTGCTATTTTATAAGCAGGAATATCCTCACGCTTGGTATTTGTTCGCCTGGCTTCCCAGTCCATCATGTACTCGAAGGAAAGGAACCAAGTTCCATACGCTTGCGCTTCACGAAGAATTGTAACCGCCTCTCCACGGTAAAGGCCATTGAACAGTCCTCCTTGAGATGACAATTTCTTTATACAGTCCAGAGGCCCACTATAAAGTCTCCCTTCTCCATGAGGTTGGGTTTGGAGTC